ATATATATGTATCACTGCTAATTATACGGTGAATGAATCTACGAGGAAATGACGACGGGAAACGGAGAATGTTCTTTCTGAAGATAATGGATACTCTAGTAGTATATTGGTTATCGTTATCGAAAATTCGTGGTTGAATTCGTGCCAGAGCTGAATGCCCATCCGTATGGAAAAAGATATTACCCCTCTGAAAGAGGTCCACTAGGATGGAGGGTTCCAACTTTCCGCGATTATGGAAGGGAGACAAGGTCTGTCGGTTGAGGTTTCCAAGGATTCCTTTGTTAGCTCGACATGCGCAGGGCTGTACGACAAAGTAGGTCGTCCATCCTATCTACACTGTAGATTTCTGGTAGTCGGATACTGGCGAAAGTTTGCTTTGCGTACATGTTTGTTTTAAGGTGTCGAGCGCTGTTCAGTAGGTCGTCAACGTTTATCTTTTCTCCATAACTATCTTTTTCTTCTGTGTGTTTGGTTCGCTCTGTCAGATTGATTGGAACCTGACGACACAGCCTGTTGATGCATCTACAGGCAACAGCTTTTTGAGTTCACAAATAGGCGGCGAACAAGTTATCATCGAAGTAGCAATCGTAGTTCACAAGGAAGTTGCAGAACGTATTTCTAGATAGTAGTGAGGGCTGGAATCATTTAGCAGCGACTGCATATTGGTCGGTAACAATTGTGACAGACGCCTACCAAAGAAAACTGTATAGTCGTGGCACATGTGGCCATCGTAAAGGCGTCATAGCGCTCGAGTATTCACTTATCAACGTGGTTGATCGACGTTTTGAGAAGGTTCTTGATGGGCAGTTTTAGTATTAGGGTTCACAGATAAAGAGACAGCGTATAGCTGATGGATCAATGATTGGGAAATGTTTGGCTTAACAGGCCTTGCTGTTGTCTGCCCATAGCTCAACAACTGCAGGTCGGGTGGGAAGGACTAAGGCGGACAATAGGACTGAACACCTACAGTTAAAAAACTATCCCAGTCGCTATCAGATTATCTAGCCATTGTTACAAAGACCATAGGAGGTTCGTTATTAATTCTTGATATATAAATTAATCGTAACATAGTAGTGATACAATGCTAGTAACAAATGTAATAGTTAGCATAACAAACAAAGATGCGGATGCTATAATCTAAAATGTACATTAATTATCGTATTTACCGCGTACACTGTCACTTGCGATTGAAGATCAACGATTTAGTTCAATAGCTCCGGTAGGATAGCGTTATAAGAGGAAGAAGTGTTTTCGTTTGCTGTTTATCGCGTCGCGTGTGTTAATGTGCTTTATTATTTTTTTACATCACACATGTCTGCTACAGTTGTCATTAGTCTCATTAGATTAGTGTGCTTGAGAGCGCGTGGGTAATAATAACAGTGACTTTGGTTGCAACTTATTGTCATACAGTGGTCTCGGAGCCTTTGCCGGGCTGTTGCACTGGATCCTGCTGTTGTCCCAAGAAGGATTTCTTCGCTTCTTGGGGCGAGCTCTGGGGGACTGGGGTGGCAGACTGGATCTTGATCGTTATCCCGCAGTCGTCGTCTTCATCGTTGTTCTCTTCAGTCATCGTGGACAGCCGTCTTCTTTCCTCCTCGGAGACGGCGTCCTTCTTTGAGCCACGTTTCTTTTTCCTGCGACTCAACGAGATACATATGCCATACACGGTACATATGAACGTATGTTATAGTCAAACTATATGGAGCGATACCCAAAAACGGGACATTACTGCGACCCTGACAAAGGTATTCTGGGGTGATATCAAGACTGTGAGGTAATAGATAATTGAAACAGTATAATGGACGGTAATAACTCGAGTAATAGCAGTAATCGTAAGAGATAGCATAGAGCAGATGGAAAAAAACATCTCAGGGCAGGGTATAATGCATTTGGTTCTGGTACATTAGACCGTTTTGCCTATTGGTAGATTCTAAAAAAATGATAACTCGTTGAATTAGACATAAGCAATATCTGTGCTTTTTCTTTTCCCATTTAAGTATGTTACCATGATTGTGGAATTTCATTGCTTGATACGTTCCCTACCCGACATTTGTATATGTATAGAGTAAACTAATGAGGGGTCGACTTCGCTCAGCTGTTTACTGGCAATTGAGTAATTTATAAGACGATGCTCTAACATCAACTTATTGGCCAAATCACATTATAATTTGGTTCATCAGAAAACAGTGTGACACTCACTTTCCACCAGTGGATTCTGTCACGATCGTTGGCACGGGCGGCTTCTCTTTCTCGGGGACGTTCTGTTGGTCGATGGCCTTCCATAGGGTTGTTTTCTGAAGCTGTTCGCTAATATTAATACCAGGGACGGGTTCTTTGCACTCCATAATATCTCCGTTGACTAATTGAATAGACACGCCACCCAGCTCGCCACCAGTTGTTTTCATTTCAAGAGCGCAGTTGTCACCCCCAGAACTGCCTACGTTGCCTGAATCAGAGTCGCGATTCTTCTCAGCCTCCTCTTGCCTCTTGTGTTCGGGCATAATATCGTCCAGCACCTTAAGCTCTGTAGCAAGAAATCGAACGTTTTATGGTATCGTATCCTAAGCTCATTTTCTATTCGAAAGAGGTATATCATCGCGGAAGGTTCGCGCGAACAGTCCTATTTGGCTATCTGAAGCAAGCGATTTATTTGCCCAAGCCACCGCACCGAAAATTAGATTCTTAATCAAGAAGAGTTCCTGGTTGCCTCAGAAGGTGCCAATATAAAAGTACCTCTTAATGGACACGTTCAATGTAAACATTTCATTAGTTATAAGTATTATGCACTAGTGTACCATAGTAACCTAGTAAATCTTATTTTAGGATTGCTTACCTTTACGCGTGAAGATAAAATCGAGACATTTGCGCACGCCGATCATGACAACCAGCATGAGTGGAAAGCTGATTGAAGTCTGTTTGTAGCTCTTGATGAGCCACAGCGAGGCTAGACATAACACTTGTATAAACGTGAACAAGTGGACACGCAGCGTTGGCACACTGCGCAAGAACATGTAATCAGGCTGATACTTTTGTGGCATGAAAATAATCAGAATCCTGGCGAATAACTGTGAGCCTTGCAACGAGCTCACGCCCATATATAGGAAGACGCCGTATAGCACTGGCATGGGTATGTGCTTAAGGACAGCCGTAAAGAAGACCGACATCCCTACCAATGCAAAGATTGCGACCTGAGTGATGCGTTGTTCTCGCACTCCAAGAAACTGTGGCTTCTCGCCTGGCGCCGATGTTTCAGATTCCATTTTCAGCGAGTTGACGTGCGTCATAGCCAACACGGTCGCCGCGACGAACCAAGGCAATCCAAAAACCGAGCATATACCGATTAAAACGGCTAGAACGAGCAGATCTAGGTGATATCCACAGCCTTTTTTAAGTTTGTTCTCTTTTCGATTGATGATAACGGCCGTGATTTGCTGATCCATAAAAATCAATATCGTGGCCAGCATCGCCGGAGGTATAGCCAACAGAACAGTCCACCAGGGGTTATGATTGAATGGCGGAATCAGCCATCCTCGACCGGACCAGGTCGGCTCAAACTTTTCCGGCACGTTAAGCTTTGGCGTTTCCAGTCCGATGGCCAGATCGGCGAGACTCACTGCTGATATAGCAATGACGACGGCGAAGTCCGATACGATTGCACGGACCCAGGTTGGAAAGTAGCTAGTGAACTTGAAGCTCTTGAGCGACGTGGCCAGAATGAAGGTGGCCGCAAACAGGACCACTGAAAGCAGGAATACATCGGGAACATACTGGCAGCCGGTCCCCTCCCATTCCCCGCCGGCGGCGTAACATCCATAGCGACTGAGATTCTGAAATGCCTCCCTATTCGAAGAGTTAGCCGGCGGCAGGCATTCGCAATCGATCCGTAACTTCAGATCCGTGTTCAGTGGCATCTTGTGCCCGATTTTCCCGACGTTCTTAAACGCCTCAATAATGAATATCAAAGAGATCAGTGTGGCAAAGTTCTCTTCGGTGAATCGCGTGATGTAGCACACGAGTGCGCTGGCGTCTAGGGCCACCTAGGTGGACAAACAGAGCGAAAAAGAAACAATATTTAAAAAATTCCTATAGAGAGTCAGATGCAGTCGTTGGCTTCGTATACCCCTATTATGGTATCAACGAAATCTATTCAGCGAGATAATACTGACATGACTGATCAGAAAGTTATGTATTTGTGCGTGACTCAGTGAATACTAACGAGGTAAATGAGGATGACCATCGTCCAAAGGCCGACCCAAAACCTCAACGAGAGGTAATCGAGTCCATGTTCTTTACAAAAGTCATACATGATCGTCTCAAATACGAGCACGGGGCCGGTCGATCCAAGGATGGTTAAAGGCTGACCGGAGAACAGCCCGTATAATACACCGCAAACGGCGCCCGACATAAGAGATTCCATAGCTGCCTGCAATATTCAGTGTTACACGGGCGAACATCGAGACGTTCATTAATCTTTGCGTTGCGTTTCTCTCCAGCTGTGTCATGTTGGTTTGTTTTCATTTGTGTGCAAATCCAAAAACCTTATAATGCTAGTGGATGTAATTACTATTGGGTGTGCTAGAGTTTTTAAGGTGGACTGTACTTACGATGCGATTCTCAGTTGCCGATCCCAGCAAACCGCCGAATGTAATTATTGGAGTAAGACAGGCAAAATACAGGAAAAATATAGATGCCACAGACTGTAGTGAGCAGGCGTCTTTGAAGTCTGATATATACCAAGGCATCTTACGCATAATATCGTTTTTCAAACCACCCCACAATCTGAAATAAGGGGGTAAACGGTTTCGTTAATAATCTTATATACTACGTGGTGCCTGTATATACGTGCTATATACTACATCACGCAATCTTTATACAATAATAACGCATACAAAATGTGTTGTATCAGATAGAACGGCTCTGTCTGGCAGACATCGGGAAAAAGTATCCGACGTTAGTAATTTATGATCCGTCTAAAGCTTTGACGTTCTGATATGTTACAGTAAATATCGTTTAATGGCTTAGAAAGCACATGAATTTACCGAAATGCATCGTTGAATTCAATTACGAAACCTCTTGTGAGCCGGTTTATATCAAAATGAGCGTATATATTTACTTGTACAGAGCTCCTAGACCCAAAAGATAGGCTAATTTGTTAGAATGTTTTCTTTTTTACCAACACAGAAATTATCTCGCACAACAAACTACTTATTGACCTCTTGTAGCAATAGTCATAATATCACTATGAAATTTACAGTCATAGTGATATTGTAACTACTACTACTACTACTGGTGGGTGGTTGAACCTTATCAATGTTGGGTACTATTAGTGCATTGCAAAATGAACGCTTCTGCTCCCTGTTCATTTATTTTTGTCCTGTCAACTAATTATAGATGACAACCTATACGTACACTCCCGTTCGTTTTAATCCTGATTCTTCCCGTTCTCGCTCTTCTTCTTCTTCAGGATCGAGCTTTGGAGTCAGCTCGGACTCCTGTTTTTTTCGAGCCTCCTGCGAGGGTGCATGCTGTGGCGGCTCAATTCGCGTGGCCGGATCCCACGCGCCGGGTGGTAGTACGGTCGCAGCATCGAGAAATTCGTCGACGCCAGCTAACAGGTGGTCGCGATTTTTGGCCTTGAAGGCTACGTCGTGGAATACTTCATCTGTCATGAGTATGCCGATAGCGCGGCCTACTTCATGGTAGCGAACCATGTTACCTGTGGAATGGCGAACGCATACAAATTGGGAATTCTGAGTGTACGCAAAAAAAAAAATAGTTCGTGTAGAGTTGGAAATAGTACTAATAATTATAAGTCATACACGAAAGCATTATTTTGCTAAAAATACTTCTTTAATAGTTTTGGAAATTCTAATGGAAGGCCAAAAAAAACTTTCTCTCTCATTTTTTCTTCCGGTGGTCTAACTAGACTGTTAAATGCTAAATGACGTTTAGTTACGATCAACAATTGTAACATTAACATACTGAAGGAAGGCATTATGAACGGAGTTAATGTAGACCCGTAGATTCAGCTAAATTGGTTCTTTGCGTTAACTCACCCGTGGGGCCGAGCAAAAGGAAGAAAAACCTCGTCGGCACGGGGACCTCAGTGAGATCCCCCAGTGACATGGCCTGGTTCAATCGGACAAAAGCCATAATCGGTCGCTCTAGAAAATCCACTTCTCCCACTAAAATATTCACAGCCTGGGAACCTGGGGGCACTTTGCGCATAAAAGCTTGATTCAACTGAAATTAAATTAAGACAGAGCCCATCGTATCATGTTTAGATTGCTCCAAACTGTGTAGAACTTTCATTCGGAGCATAAATAATAGCTTTGAACTTGTTTCTATTTACTTAAAGGAGCTATGAACATCTAAATCAAATTAACCCCCTGTAGTGTAGAGAAGTGTGAGTAACCATGTCTAGGACAATTGGTTTTTGTTAGCAATCACCACTGCAGGGTAATGTTGTGTACTTTTTCATTTGTCGTTGATTTCAAACAAATGTTACTAACTCTTGCGGAAACCCTCGGCGAAGCTTAGCTATTGCCAGTTTTGCCTTTTCAGATGAAAGCGCAAATATTATATATAATTTGATCATGTGGCCCCTATTATAAAATCTGTCATTGTCTATAGCACTTGTACCTGTCCTGCTTATGATCATTGATAGACGCGACGAGAAACCACGCTGCACGAGCAGCGTTCAAGATGGGATGGTAATAATTAATATCTATGTTATATAGCCTATCGTGCAGGCCGCGGTTTCGAATTATTACAGACCGTAGCAATGTTGGGTAGATGAGGCGTAGGGCGCTGTAATAAAGCTAAAATGGTAGCACGAGTGCCTGGGAGCTGGTCGCGAAAGGCTACCGAGTTGATCTTGCGCTATCGTTAGACAACGATACGAATAAAAATAAATACTATAATAGTAAAGTGTGGTTAAATAAAACTATAAGCGATGACTACGTGCCGTTAATTAAAATGATGGAGGTCGCTGTGATTGAGGAAATGTCCGCATGGGATACAAATAGTCAGGTAGCTTAGAAAAGAACTCAAAGTGGTTTCCGGCACAAGTGTAAAACTTTGATGATTAGTAGAAGGGTGGAAACAAATCATCTATACCATATTGGCACTTACGTCATGTTAACTGGAATAAATAGGCATACATGTTAGAAAGTCAAATAAAACGTGTTATCTAACAAAACAATCCTAGGTAGATTTGATTTTGTGCCAATATTCCCTATAATCGGATTCCATACCAGCGTTCCAAGCTACATGCCACGACCGAATCTTGTCTGTCTAATTCGAGCATGCCCCCAATCTGCACGTGTTCAACCAACAACGAAACCCCGAATACTATTTCAAGAGACTTGAATTTTACCTTAACGTTTTTCCCGCTTCCATATTTCAGTTCAAACGAGGGTTCGGCTATTTTAGACTTCGCGCGCTCCATTCTGCTACCCCCAATCTATCATCCTACCCCTGTTATGGCAATTGATCGTTAAACACTCCGGGTACATCGGTATTTCGCCATTCCGTTAGCTTACCCGATGATGGAGGTCGGGGGATGAGTTCTCGTTGTTGCCGGCAGGCGGACCTGCATGCAGTGAGTTGGAGCTGGGACTACCGTGAAGCTGCAGCTGGTCTGCGCACGCAGGTACTGAGGCACCTGCAAGTTTTCGTTGTTTTGAACGAAACGGAGTAGGTTCCATGGGTTCGGCCATAGTGTTCGTAGTTGGACGTTGTCACATGAAGGCGTTTATTGGCAACACCGGAACAGGTGGAACAACGAACAGGTGAAACAGAAGTAGAGAGCCGGATCAGAGACGAAATGCGAAAGTGCGACATGCTTTGTTAAAGTATCACTCCGATATAACTGACCTGCAAAAGTCAGTAGCCTAATCTGCAGCAACGTCCTGCAGATATACTTTCTACGCTACACTACAATTAGCTACACGATAACAGCACTGCACTACATCTTCAAGCTAAGCAGCAGTAACAATAGCAGCAAAAAATTTAGCAGAAATCGGTGCAGACACAAGTTCTCTTCCGTGACTTAATGGGTCCCGGCTCTGCTGAAGGAGAAAAAGGTCCTTCGCGCTACCGAGCAACCCTTCGAAGATTTGTTTACAAAATAACCAGAGCAAAAACGAGTACATTGCCATCAAATGCTACAGAGGATCTCTCGAGTAGAAAATGCACGCGTGAGAACATAAAGCACAAAACGAAAACCGTCATAATTTGATCGATCAATGCAACTCACTGTTCAGTCAGTCGACTATTTGACAATAAAAAATTAAACGGGTGGTAAAGTGGGCATGAAACGAAAAACAGGGTAAAAATTGCAATTTAGGGCTACATGCAAACTCCCTTTTGCGATTTTGAATATTCTGCATACGAGGTTGGAGGATCACTATCAGCTAAAATGGGTCGAACTAAAGTAAGATACAAACAGTGCATATTGGCACAACATCTGATAAAACAAAAAGCAGATTTATATACGATATGCATGGGCGAAATCAAGAAAACAATGGTACAGAATGACATTCGTTCCATAGGATAGGATCATATGTGGGGCAATTCTACAAATATGTATGTGTTTGGTTTTACATCGGACGTAAATACTGCGTAGACAATTGGATGATCTCTGATAATAATTTGTGACAGTCAGTCTTTTCGTTTCTATTAGACACCCATTGTCGGACTAAATCATAAATTAAAGAACGGTCCTTGTTTCGGAAGTTGCAAACAACCAAAACTGATTGTTGATCTTAGAGATTTCTCGTGTCTGGTATAATTGCACAAGTTTCCTATGCCATTATTTTATGCTCTCATTCGCCAGTCAACACTCGTCAGTATCATAAAAATCGTGCCTGAGCCTAGAAGATGAAAAAAGGACGACTAAGGAAACTATACTTTTGTTAGAGTCGTAGAGCTATCAAAATTCAAATAATTCGGACAGATCCGTAAATGAAAAAATTTTGTTTTCTCAACCACTCGATGCCGTGGGCGCGCATTGAGCGCAGAGACCCAGATGATTAGAGATTAGGTATGAGGATGAAAAAGGGTAATTATCACGTGTTTGATATCAATTGCACACTACATTACATTGCTAAACAAAAAAAGACTAACTAAAGGTTCGCTAGGATTACAGCAACAAACCTATTGTGCCTAAAACTATCAAGTCAAATCAAAAATAGGTTTGCTAACAGTTCTAGGACGGCAAGCAGACCCACATGACAGCACATTGAAATCGGGGCATCAGCTGGATCAAGTTCAAAACGATGGTGCTTCTTATAGTGATCGCACTACAGGAAGGAGGAGGGTCACGTCACACAGTTTTGCGCGCGTCGCAGAGAGTTCACAGGACAACATTGAGAATCGAAGGCGCTATGATATGTCTATGCTAAAACCTTATTCTGTTTTTATCTTGTTGATGTTTTTTTTTTTCTCTATTTCCGATTTCTATGTGGTCAAATTCTGCAGCGCGCGCGAACGCTCCATTAGCAGAGTCTAGGCAGCTAGCTATCCGAAGCCAGGCAATTCTTCCGTGGAGCGACTCCCGGCTATCGAACGCACAGCAACAAGGTGTACCTGGCACACTCAGCAGAGGCCCTGCGTGAGTCTGGACTGCTGGAGCAGGAGTCGCCCCTGCTTCTATATCACCTTTACGTTGTGGCGACATGCCACACCAGGTGGTCAAATCACGAGGGACATATCGCCATCAATGTACCCGAGACAGACAGACAGACAGGCAGGTAGGTAGGTGTGACGCGATGACGTAGAACGAAGAATGCAACGCAGAAGAGTGACGCGACGTGCGCGCCACCGGACGATGGCAGAAGTCGAATGAGCAATGAAGAACGACGAGGATTTTTTGTCGTGTGTTTTAACCGTAGAGTAGCAGTGGCAGCATAAGCAGGAGACGGAGATAAGTGGTTGTGATGTTTGGAGGGGAAGAGCCGACCAACGCAACGGACCAACGAAAGCACGTTAACGACAAGAGCACACGATTATCAGCATCATTATGACTAACAGTATTTTATCATCAATAACAATAAAAACGACAAAAAAGACACAGAAGGAGAAAAGGCAGTCGATGTACGTACGTACGTATATTGGGAATGTTTTATATAAGAAAAAAAAAGACCTACGAAGCAGAGAAATAGGCTGTTATGCATATCATTACTGGTAAATCATGGACATATCTGCACGTCTGCCAAATATGGTTTGATGTTTATAATGCAATCGTGTTAACGACACAGTCGTGAGTGAAGGCGCCCAGAGCGTTAGCAACAACAGTAAAAAAAAAGCCAGTCAACAAATCGTTGACATGGAAGTAATTTCTATGAGATTTTACCGATGGAACGACAACACGCCAATATCGCTTAAGGAAAGTGCAGGTGTTAACCGGGAGAAGACAAGGAAGCTTCAACAGCCAGTCCTATACATTCGATAAAATATAGATATGCTGATTATGTTGGTGGATAGAGAGGACGTATGTGTGGTAAAGTAGTTTAGAAAGCTTACGTGAATGATATAGGAGCTCAGAAATTGCCATTCTTGATTCAATAGGGTGTTCGGAACGTTTGCAATGATTCCCCGTTGAGCCGCCTTTCTACCTACAAGTATTTAGCTTATAATATTACAGTGTGTATGTGTCTCAAGATTAAAAGAACAAAGTGGAAGGGTTATTGCAGAAACTTAGAGATTTGAAATCGATATAGTGTAGAGACGAAATATAAGATGCAATAGCCTATATGTGTATACGCAAAAGAGCACAACAACTTACCAGAGGCAATCTATTTCTAAGAACGTCAAAACCACTTTTATCTTTCAGTTAGAAGACGTAGTTAATATATGGTTACTGTTTTAATAAAGACCTTTATGAAACTGTCATCATCAATAAATTAAGCTTTCGTTTAGATTAGGTGACGAAACAAAACTTCTACACCTACAAAATGTAACATACCTAAGCTGCTTTGGTAACTTTTTGAACAACCTTTTTTTTCTTTTACCTACGCTATACGACCCAGTTATAAGGCCATTGTTATAGGGTCGGATAAAGCTGGAATTATTCATGAGCCATATTTGTGTGTGGGACAAATACGGTGCTCGAAGTTTATATTGAATAGTACGGCAAATCGCAGGTCGCTCGATCGTATGTAGGATATCGACATGTCGAAGCTATTGACGAATTATGCTAATAGAAGTCGCTAATGAAGTGCAACAAACGTACATTGTTGTGTTGTGTGCTATGGAAATAAAAAAGAAATTGAACTGGGCCTGATTTTTGTTGGAACATATAGTGATGGCGCAATCAAAAGGTTTCTGGGGTGCTGGAATACGTTATTGATGAATAGATTGACCTGTTTAATCTACATTTTTTTTCTCACTGACTGAACGAAACCACACGATGTTTATAGAAGATGAGTCATCCGTCCTACAATATATATATATATATATATTCCTATATTTTTTATTGAGCCACAGACTGACATTATACAAACATTAACGATTGTGGACGAAAAAAAAACAAATTTTTATTTGTCTATGCTGACCAGGACCGTATCTAAGCGTGCTTCGCCGTCTAACGACGTGTGAGCGTCACTCGTTTAAGTTAGCTCATTTGACTCCTATGATCATACGGTTGACAATAGCTATCGTTTGATAGTGTAAACATACTGTTGTTGGTGCTGCCGAACATTGACTTGGAACTATTGCGTCCGATGTCTGCGAGGGAGCGAATTAAGGGTAGGCGTTTGGCGTCTGTCTGTCGCTTCTCGTGTTGGTGACGATGTCGCTTCAGAAGAATCTCTTTGATGCGATCGCGACAATCCAGAGCCGACATTGGAAGCTGTTTTGAGTTGACCTGAGAAAAATCAAATATGGCGACCAAATCTTTGACGGGTAGGGAAGAACACTAACTACTGCGATTAGACGATAATAAAATTCAGCTGAATTTCGGTAGCTATCAGAATTGGACATGAGCTAATTTTGATTATAAATCGGATTCCCTTGCCGTCTATTACCGATACGCTAATTGGAGAGGCAGATATCTACAGTTGGTTTCTATCAAAGCTAAGAAACCATTGTACTAACTACTGAACATCGCTCGCACGCACGCACGCACGCTCGGACACCGAGGAACAGACGCATACAGATGCCATTGACTGATACTAACCATATTTTCGAGGATAAGCTCTGCTATATTCTCCAGGCTGGTAGCCTCCATATCAAGAAGAACTGTTCCGTTCAGCAAAAAACTACGGAGATCCATAAGCGAGTGTAGAGAAATTGTTGATACGTGAGGTTTTGACCAACGGTCGCCGCCTTCCTCTACGTCCTGCGGGACGCCAACAGCGATAGAAAAGATCGTTAGATTAACACCTTATCTATGTTGGTACTTTCTCTCTGTGACTTTTCATTTACGCGAATATGTTTATATCGCAGTTGATTAATTATCGAGCACAGCTAACAAGACCAAGCATCCGAAAGTATGCGACGAAATATCCGAAAGCGAAACGGCCTCGATGACCAGTAATGAGTGTTATCCCATTACTGGTAATCGAGGCCGGTACATTACGTTAACTTTTTCATGCTTAGCTCAATTTCGTGATAAAATTTAGATAAGCTAACTAACTGACCTCTTCGTATTTAATCCATCGGGCAGCTTCGCGCCACTCGTAGTCACCACTGTCCATGCTCTGAGTAAGCACCTCCATCTCTGAAAAGAGCGGATGTACTTCGTGTCCTTCGTCTTCTTCACCGAGCAAAAAATGAATACGCTCGGCGGGTGCTTGAACTTTGTCTTCGGGTTGAGGCCCGGTGCCTGTTTGGCCGCCGGGAGAGCCTTTCTTTCCATGATGCCGATGGCGTCTGTGCAAAGGAAAAAAACGAATAAATCAATAGAAAAACGTTATAGCAATAATTCAATTAAGTTGTCGCTCTCAAGTTTTGCTTAAAGGTTTTGCTAGATTGTTTAGCATCCTTAAGATTTAAAATGTTTAGGAAACTTATCCTTAACATTGAAAATAAACGGACCCATATTAACGACTCAACAGATCTTTGTGTTGCAACAACTCTATGCTAAAATTATTTGTCGATATTCATATAGCTCTGATATCGAACTTTTTTTTTTCTTTTTATTTTCATATTCTTTATAGGCTATACCATTATTTTGTCGTCGTTGCTTTCTAAGTATTTAATGCCTCTTCCAACACTCCTTAAGATTATTACTTATCTATAGGAGTCCATTGAAAACGCTCTGAATCACAGCTCTAACTCAACCGAAGAATATCGACTACTGCACGAAAAGCTAGTTCATTAGCTGCAGGACAAAGGGACTGATACTTTCAGGTCCCCACTTGTTACGATTGCTTCCCGGGAAAGACATGGCTAATGGCTGTGCTTAAGGATCAACTATTTTGTTTGTCTTCAGTAACAAGGTAATATCTCCTCGAGCTACAGCCTACGCCGTCAGACACGCGACTTCTACCAAGGCGGCATAAGAGATCGCTGTGTAGCATAGAAGATAAGAAAAGATGAACGATTAGATTGGTCGTGGTTTAGCCAAGGAAGATTCGAGAACAGATGAAGATCGAATGTTGCTAGTGACCACTTACAAATGGTGAAAGAAATCAAAAACAATCATCCATGAACGTTTTGCTAACTCGCATGCTCCCAGCTGCAAATGAATAGCTCTCTTAAGGTCTCGATCAGCTCTGTTAAATCCCTCCTATTGGTTTATTGAGGACGACCTCAAGTATCCGTTTTAAAATTTAAAAACATATTCTGTCCCCGTTTTAGGAGGCTGGCTTGCTAAAAGCTTTCTTTCCAACCGGCATTGCGTCGATTTTCATTTCTCTGCTTCATTGCCGCGTTGTAATCATTAGCATTATCTAAATAGAATTGAAAACAGTTGCTTCTTAACATTAACTGGACGATTATGAAGCTAGGTTCATGAACTTGTTATCAGTTAGGGCGCTTGCTAACTGCTTTTCATAGAAATAGATGATACATCTCAGTATCAGTTTGTGTTTCCTTGGACATGTTGGCTTGTCGGCACAATCTGTCGTATTAATCCAAAAGGCAACCAGTGGCAACGACGATATCAAAAATGGCTATGGCACCAATCTCTCAAACAAGAAACCATACGTCGATTAACTCCACTGAAAATTTCTAATAGCACGGATTGGTAATGGCACGTTTACAGGAATACGTCTATGCGTAGACAAACGAAACTGGCTGCGGTTCCTCGTGACGCGGACACCGCGTATATAATAATTATAGGCAACAACATTCAGCATTGAGGTTGACACCAAACAAAAGAGGACAAACCGTTCTCTAGTTTATTTCCATTTCTTAGAAATTACAAAAATAATAATTATTATGTTGTCGTTTTGGCAACGGAACAGGCAGAGAGTGACGATTACAGATGATCGAAAATCACTTTCGTCTGCTTAACATTGGAGCACCGTAATATGTATAAATAAACAATATTTTTCTCTAAATCGGTTAACTGTTGAGTCGTTTATTATTTGTAGCGATAAGTACCAGGTCTATAATAATAACTGCAGACAAACATGTGCTCTCGTAGCGGCATGTTTTGGATGGCTAATGCGCAATCGCGCTTTCATGGTAGTCCTAAACGTGCAGCCGTCACTAGTTCAAATTTCAACGATGACAAGATAGTTACCATGGCATATGGTATCTTGTCCATGTGTCTACTGAAGAAGCCCCCGATAAGTCGAGTGGGACCCGCCCTGCTTTGACCTACCAACAAGGGAGAAACCTTAGATACTATACCGAAGAGATGATTTTGCAAACCTGTTTATACAGTAAAAATAACTGGGACGGTTAAAAAACGCAACTTACACTTCGATACTGCTGATTGTTGTGCCCTTATTGAGATACGATGCTCTCGCATGAATCTTAGATTGGGCACTTGGATGCGTCAACAATCTGACCACTGCACGTTTCGTGAGGTCTGATTTTCGTGTCGTGCGTCGCACGAATGATGTTGAAATTCTCGAATGGAAAGACTCGTTGAATCTGCACCCTGAGCATCTGTGAAGCATGATTTACTAATTGATTGACTGTGGTAATCAGGGCATGATTGATTTGTTCATGAAGGACATCAGCTTGTGCCATGATCTCGGTTGGTGCACGGTGACGTTTGCCTTAAATTAATCCACATTGGAGTTTTGCTATTGAGTTGGAAACTCAACAGCTAGTAGTAAACCAGGCTGATAAATTGGACAGACGTGAGTGTTTGTCTTGCATGGAAAACTAGATAGAGGCCAACATGCATATATTGTGATCAAATTACTGATTCAGGTCAGTCCTATGTCCGCTTTTTCACAACGACGCTACGGCAAAAAAAAAGGCATAACGGCCTGTAGTAAAATACGCCTCCTTCATAGACCAGACGAATTCACGTGATTATTTTGCAACGAAGCTAACATCATTACTCATAAGAACGGTCGTTTATTATTTCAACAATTATTACCAATAACCGTTAATAATAGAAGCGTCGGGTGCAGATTTCGCTGGCAACAAAGTCCATTTATTCTATAGAGTACATCCCTTTGTCGCATCGCTCTTTGACGAAATTTGCAAAGTGGTGCTATTTAGCATAAGCACACTAGAAGTCCTTTTTCGTAAGTAACAGGACGCAGCGTTTCGAATCAAACAGCTCAGACAAACGACCGTCCAATGTGGCACATTGGCATATCAATGATGTTAAGGTTCTCCCTGGGTGTAATTCCACCTTACTATGCACTCGAGGTCCGGCAACACGCGTCGTCGAGCGTCTAGACGGTCGGGATGCTTGTCGCAGAAAGTGACTCCCCCAACTTCGCTATATCCGTTGAGTTAGAGAGGGCTAGAAGGGTCGCGGGAGAGAACTTGAGTCTCGGACTGTGTCACCGCCTGCAGCCTAAATATTATAAAAAGCCCTTACGGTGCAAGATACGGCGGCAAGCTAAACGAGCAGCGTAATTTCAGCTTTTATCACGCAAGATAAAATGGCCCCTTTCGAAACAGCGTGACTTTATCGTCGACACGCAGAATATTGGTGGGACAACAAACGCGACCATTATTAGGATGCAGCCTCAAATATCACCAGTAATTTTAGCATTCTTTTAAGCTTGGTGATGATGTAATTTCTAACATTTATTCGCTGCTCATAACGGCGTCAAGCGGACATCAGTTAATTATTGTCAAGATCGCCTAAACTAACAATGGTTCTATTATATTTCTAACGTAAAGCAACGATTACGCCAAACGTAATAAGCTTTGGGTCATGCGATTATTGATATGCTGGTTCTCAATCTGTCAAAATTGATGTTCCATCACTCGAGTTTTTCTCCACCCTCAAATAGCCCATTGACGATGCGATGAAAATGGTTGACGTTAGGCCCACTAACCGAAATTTGCAGGCACCAACCGAAAATTGAGTACAACCACAGCTACGAGATTTTGACTCGTCACAAAACGTTGTTTCCTTTCCATTCTTAATCGTTCGTATGCTGACCAGTCTTGAGAATAATAAAAATCAAATATTTTCAAAAGACGAGCTATGTTTTCAGAAAAAACAACGCCGACTCAGGTAGGCGCAATGGAATTGAATCAAGCCCGACATCTATCGTATGTGTCCATAGCGAAAGTTTCTCTCTTCATACTGGCGCAAAACTACGCGATCTGAATTCACAAACACATTCGGACGTCATCTACGGTGACCAGAGATTTCGGAAGATATCTATACGTGAAAGAAAAGGGCTCATTCGATTCATATTTGAGCCAGTATTCGTAGTTAGGGCCGGAGCCACTTGAATTGAGTGGAAAGCAGGGCTAATATCAGCGACATTTATGTTGACGTACTTAATGCTCAGGCCATCGTTTGGTTCTTGTCGACGGGATTTGAAAGCTTGTTCCGTTGCAACACAAGAATTGGCAGCTTCAATATGCGCGCACTTTTGACACGTAAGAGGCCCCTGTCGTTTCGGTGGTAAATAAGTCTGCAGTATGCTTTTATATATACTGTAATCATTCTATTGCACGATAAAATATTACGAATATAATAATAGGTAGATAGAAAGCTGATAGGCTTGAGCTTTTTGCTTAAGCCAGTCAGCTTCGCTGCTGGCTTTCTTTACGCAATGACGTCTCACTGTGTCGTCGTTCACTGTGACCGCTTCATATATCCACACAGACATGTCCACGAAAAACCAGTCAGACAGATTTAGCGTCATGCCGTAGGATAACAGAGCGTAAACACTTATTCCATTTAATCAATCCGACGACTGATCGGTAATCGGTAAAGAATCTTTCTGTCTAACTAACGAAAATAACTGGACAAAAAAATAGGCCAAGAGGAAATTCAAGCGCACCAACATCTGTCACGTTGGTGAAGGTTTATTCGGTCTTTAGAGGTGAAATAATTTCCAGGGCAGATGGTTCGCCGGACTCGGGACATTAATAGTGGTAGCGAATGAATGTCCTTCCTAATACTTTTGTTATAGGGCCCATTTTTCCCACTGTAGAATGTCCACGCTTATATTATGGAATAGAAATGTGTTCTTTATGAGAACGATTTTCTTTATGAAGCCATTCAAACTTTATGCTGAACAGATGGAGCTTCAAGATAAACCTAGATAAAATTTTTTGCAGTTGTTCTGCTGTAGCAGTTTTCGCATTTGATTGTCAACTGCCTCCAATATATGCGACTGAAAGCTCGATCATAACAAGATTGTTATCACTAACAATACAGTGCTGGCAATGTATTGTTGTTTCTCCAGTTATTTTTCTTCAAAATAAGTCCACAAAATTTCGGTATAAAACGATATAGCACCCTGCACTCTACAACAAAGGCTATTTTAATCTACGATATCAGACTAAACTTACTGGGTATCACAAATAAGCTTCATGTCCTAATTTTCTGATTGTATGTTTTATAAGTTAAGATTAGATAGATTTTACACAATAGATACTATTTTGACACTAGAGATACAACATATTCTCTCAGTGCGTGAACATCCGAGATAACGCACTTCGCGGTTGCGAGGTGATAATGGCGCTAGAAATCGTCTGAGCTAGGGACTAGATAATGTGTGTTTTTATGGAAAGTTGTCCGTGAACTTTGTCATAAATAAGCTTGAATGATGTCATTTGGATATTACTATTGATATTACGAGTATTTATACTATCATGATGTTATCACTGTATCAATAATCTGCCTTTCTTGTTCCCCATATTTCAGTGTCTTCATCATCAGTCTTCGACGTACCTATGGTGCCCAGAAGGTCCCGACGCGCTGGCTCGCCGCCTATAGCCGGGCACATGTAGCCCCACATAGACGGTGTGCGCACGATGTCCTTCAAAGTCCTTGTCGGTGTAGCTGGGGTGCGTAGTCAGAGCGCCCGGATCCCGGGGCGCTTCCGCGCCGTCCAGGTTATCTGCCACTCCGCCTCGCTCCATATCCGCAGCCCAACTACCACTCGAGCCCAGAACACTGCAGAAAGAAAAGCAGAAAAAAAAACTATATCTATTAGTGATTTGTACATATATATAGTCGCTGTCAGTATAAAACACGAAGGAGCCTATGGTACTGTTGTTAGAGTTTGTTCTGTTTGAATGTTTGTATATCTAGTCGCCATTGACTCGGCTAACACAAAGCTAACGTGCGCCTTACCACAAGAAGAGCTCTTGGGCGGCTTGTAGGGCACATTAACGTAAAACATCGTGGTATATTACAACGCTGGAGTTGTGAGAAAGCTCTGTTAGCTTATCGTTGAAATAAACAACAACGATAGGAAACGTCGTTAATTAGATATAGAGATAGAGATTTTAGGGGGGTGCATAATGCTTGGATCGAGCCTATGACTCTCTGCCATCTATCCCGGTCTGTGTGATAGCTTATTGGTGTGGAGCAACTGACCAAAGTGGGTTTGTCCGTGTAGGATGTTCCTTGGTTGTAAATACAACCCAAACGCCCATGTTACGTCTTTTACGACTCGTTTCGCTAACAGTAGAAAGCCATCTTATTCTATTCGCGTGTAGTGATTTCTTCATTGATTTTATCCTAATCCTGATAAAAGGTCATAATAGGCTTTTTCAAAGTGGCAATGTGCCTTTATCCGCTTTCAGGGTTAACTCAACGTTTTTCGAGCTGCACGCTTTTTGTAGTCTACACAATTCAACGACGTATGAATCCAAAAGTCAGGATAAAAACCAAGAGAGAATGACTCAGTTGTACTCTTTTCCTTAAACAGAAGATTTGCCCGACCATTTGTTCATTTCCGTTCTTTTCTGATCAGCCTTCCATGCCGTTCACAGTGAGAAAGAAGAATTATCAAACGGATCCTTTTTGTTTTCGTATAGAATGCGAACCATTCGTGGATGAACTGTATTCCCGCATGGTATTGCCCCTCGACGCCCGATTCGTTGACAAACTAATCGCTGACCAGTCTAAAAACTTGTGCTACCCATTTTGAAGATCGTCTTATAGCAGTTAAGTGGTGCCGTTGGATTGTTGTCTTTTCGACAGCCTACCTATAATATCACTATCGTAATCATTATTGTCTATGTCACGAGCACGTACTTCTTCCGCCACACATTTCGGATCCAGCGAGGTTCATGTTCCACGTTAACACGTTCAATGCCTTCTTCATTGAGCTCGTACACCGTATCTAAAAACCTCATTGTGTCGTATTATTAACCAAGGCAAGTTGATGAAAAATAATCAGGAACAACCGCAGTCGGTTAGATTTTATCGAAGCAAATATATATATATATATATATACAGTTACGGTGCCTCGATTAAGGTTCTTGTCGTCACGCTTGTTCTGATCACTGCAGACGTCACAAATTCTCACTTCGTGTCTTAGGAGTGCTTTTATTCTGGCCAATTTCGGTAGAGGTCAAGTTCAATTTAGCATCACAACGAGACCCGACACAAACGATCACACAGCCGCGTGTGTCGCATCACATTGGGCCTACATCACCGACATAGCCACAGTACTGTCAGCTGACGTTGGAACGTAATCGTTGAGCTGGGTTCGGTCTTCGCGAAGATGACTGAAGATCGCAGAAAGATGCGCACATCGGGCTGCAACTGGACTGCGAGTTCCGACACGAACGATGCTCAGCAAGAGAAATTTATGCCGAACAGATAATACCGTTCAACGAACCCAATCAAGACACTATCTGTCTACAGCAGGCAATCACATCCAATATCTCACAAGTGAAAACTACCGACTTCGATTGATGTTGAAAGTGGCGCGCGATTTTATAGTAGCTGACTGTTGTGGCTTTCTTTTGCTAATGTTATGATACTCTTTTGGCTGCTTTCGCTATCAGGATAAATCGCTAACAATAATAATAATATTATCACCTTACAACTAAAAGCAAAATTCTCTGGAAGACGATTTTCTCTAGACAACTAGACGGTAACCAGTAAGCACAGTGGCGCCCAGTGAAGGCTAAGCTGGGCTTTGGGAGGCCCGGTGACGGGTACCAGTTAGTTGGTCGGCTTATTCAGTCAGACCTAAGCAAAGGCACAAGTCTCCCGTGTTCGATGCCTGAGACGCTCAGACACGGAGAGAGCCTTATAGGTTGCGCGCCTGATTGTCGCCGGCGGCGTCATCCGCAACCCGTCAGCCAAGAAAAATGAGGGGGAAGAGATCTCCTTTCGTTCAATCACAACAAAGTATGATCGCTCGCCACAGAAAGCTTGTAGTAAATCCCCTAAGAATAGGATTGATGCTAGTAATACTAGACGTAGTAGCTGGAAGTCGTATGTCACTCGCAATTTTTTGGAGATTGTTCTCGTTCAACGTGTTAGACAAAGGCCCAGGTGAAGAAGTGTCGTCGTCTGCTGGTTCAGTCACTAACTTTTTAATAATTTTCCGTTTTGCTGAAAAATTAGCGGCAAAAATGGCGCCGTACTGAACTCGAAATAAGCTAATACAGAATACAGCTGCTGGAATTCTACTGAAACCGTTAAGTTCTAGCGCTCAAAACCAAGATGAAATAGTATTTCCGTTTGGTCCACGGTGATAATCGACAAGAAGCGGTAAATCAATGTCCTTGTTATGCGTAATCTGCTGGTAGCGCAGCACGTTCATATGAGCTATATGACTGGTTACGTAAATCACTTGGCGTGACACGAGATCCTGTCGCTCTAAAGGGAACGCATCGAGACCACCCGAAACAGCGAAGTTCGCTGCGATCCTTATGGAACAGGCGTGAATGCGCGGGGTCTTCAGAAATTCGTTGTACGACGGAACTACGGTCACAGATTTGAGCACTCACACACATGACCCGATCGGTCGCAATTATTAGATCAGAGAGGATAATGCAATGGCAACTCGAACGCTCCGTTCGCATATGCTCCTAGAATGTTTTGTAGTTCTGGCAACAGAAAGTTTTCGTCGACAATTTCCTAGCCTTCATCTATTAGCCATTACATCACTTTGAGACGTGAAGGAGTTGGTGTGAAGAGAACAAACTTTGTTTACTTTATCTTTTCGCAATTCGTATCTGTGTTGAACTGGTTCGTAGATTGGCCAAGGGCCCAAGAAATCGATTTATTGCGCTACACTTAGCTTCTAAGTGGGAGCTAGACCGACTAATGAAAGCGCCAGTGACGTACAGCAGCAACAGTAGTAAATACACGTTTACTCGAGTGCAATCGTACGCGCCTAATGCATCATCTACAGTGAACCACTATACACTGCGTTGATTGAACTGCGATCGCGTGAAACCAGCGAAGCAGCCATGCCTGCGACGGGTCAGTCTATCACTGCATAGATGAAAGATTCCTTTCCCGAGAATAGTGATATGCTTGAAAGAGACAGCTACGCAACCGGACTACGCCACATCGGCGGATACAATCCACGCACAACTGTCCAGCTGCAACGCACGCCTGAAACTTTCCTGTCTGTCCATCTAAAACGATGTGTGTCCTGGGGGTGGGCGAACCATCCATGTTAGACTGGGAAAGCGAACGTCGGTGACGCGCGCTAAATATCAATACTTTGATGATGCTAGCAGCAGTAGCGGCGATGGCGGCGGCGGCGGCGGCGACGGCGACGACGGCGGGTGCCGACGAGAAGAACAAGAAAAGGGCAAACGCGCTTGTCGTCTAGACTGTCGCCTTTGTTTTCCTATGCCGCCGTCGCCGGGCGACCCTGTCAACTGTGCTCGTTATGCTTGTGGCGCAACGAACAAAATCGGCGGACGTGACAACGAGGAAATGATCTGAAACATTAAACAATTGAGTGAGAGCTTTCGGAGATGCCACTGCGAAGCGCGCGATAAGCTAGTCGTAAACTATTACATACACAGGATGATCTTCGATCCCCCGTGCCGTAACGGTGCCGTAAACGAAGGAAGGGATCAGGCGAAGCCTCCAGCTTGAGCTAAAGGAAGACTCTCACCGGTCGACTGGAGGTCTGAAATGTGCCTTGAGGAAAGAACAAGTGAAAAATAAGTGCGGTTCTTCTGGAAGAATGAACTACGCCGACCCCCGACAACAATAAAGAAGAAGAATGATATATCAGATGATTTTATGTAATCGCTGCTGCTTACGAGTTTATTTGAGATGGTGGAAGACAGATCACTTGACTCGAAGCAACAGAGCCGGAAGGCGGGAACAGCAAAACACAAGATATATAGAAAGAGCACCAGCGAAGTCACAGCCGCTTAATCCGCTCGACGTTTCATCAGACTGGCGAACACAGCTGTACATCATACGGACACCTGTACAAGTAGAGTACAGGTGAGTTGTGTACACGGTTCAGGTACGAACTCTTGCTATTGAACACCATCATCACGTTAATGGAACAAGGCGCACAGATGGTCACCGCTGTCGTCTTCAATCATATCTATGTAACGTGCTCTCTTGCAAAGTGTTCACGTAGGGCACAATCCGACGACTTGTTGCGTTTAGTTAGTCCGGTGCTGACGTACGCAGACGAAGCAAGGGATAATTTTGAATCCGAGCTCGTCTTCGATGGAAGACCGATGTATGACAAACAGCTATTTTTAGCCGGCGCGACCAACTGGAGTTGTCCGCATTGCACGGTTGTATAAACGCCAAAAACATCCCGCAAGCTTTCTGAGGACACCGATGTACCACCTCACACCATTCATATACTTGAAACTGTTGTTAACAGCTTGCTTGCTTCCGTGTCCTCTAGGTGTACACGCCATAGACAAGGTGCGCAGAGACGAGCTAGAACAGGCCAAACAATCTGCTGCTTACGGTGCCTGGTCAGTCAGACACTTTAATTGAATGTGGCTGTATCTTCCGAGGGACGGAGACGACCCTGGTGCAGTGCTCTTGCAGAGAAACGTACACTAAGAAGCTCACGTAGCAAAAGAGCCATTTGTACGCGTTAAGATACAGAGAACTCCTCAATTACATGAATACACACATACACACGTGCATACGGAACACCAGCGGAGCTCCACGTAAGGGGCAGCCGTTCATTGCTTGGAGACATGGGG